AAAAGTTATATTTTAGATTTTATAGGCAGGACTAGTGTTTCTTGTGTTAAAATTTGGAATGTAACAATCATTCATTTGTGCTGCTTACTCTTACGAAGCGACAAAGTTGAACCAATTCCTCCACCACCCAATCTCTCTTTTCCTCTCCTTTCAATCTAATATTCGCACTCAATTATGTTGCCTTACGCCTTTTATTTTCCCATTTTGCCATTTGAACAACTTTGTCATCAAGTTAACTGTTTATTAAAATTTGTCCCGCTCATTTTTCCCTTATATGAATGTATACAATTTTGTTTACAAGATAATATAAATTCTAATAATTTTTCAGCCTAATTGATCAATCTGAGATATATACATATATATATATATATATATATATATATATATATATGATTTTTTTTAGTAACACAATCCTTTAGTTTATAGTGAAAAATAAAAATAAAAAAGATCGATTAGTTTATATAGTTTAGCAAAAATCAAACCCAATTTATCCCAATTTTATTTTGATTTGGACTTATTTAGATAGTCGTATAATCCGTAAGTGACGGATGATCTTATTAATTTATGGCTTAAGTCCACTAAACTCCCATATGATTTTAAAGAGTTGTTCAATATCGTTCTCCACCTTTTTTTATTCGAAAAAAAAAAAAAAATTACTTCTAAAAAATAAAATAACATAAATACCTATAGTAAGAAAATTAAATTAAAAAAACTAGATATTTTAAACAAAAATACCATAAGATCACTTTCTTTTCAACTAGAATCATCAAACGTCCTAACCTGTTCTCTTGTGTTTGGTTCTTTGTGTTTTTTAAGGACGTGCCAGAGTCTTCTGACTCAATGGGATTGGATAGCCAAATTATTCTTGACGTTGACCGAATTCGTAATCAGTCCTTTTGTAAATCAAGCGATTACTAAATAAAGGATGACCCATTCCTTTAAGTTCTTCAACACTTCGGACTTTCAGCATTAAAAGTAAAATGGATGAATGGAATAAAACAAACTACACAAATATTCATCTATTCCAATAGACTTAAAAAATAAAAGTAGATGGGACCGAACTGAAGCATCTAACTTTTATTTCATAAGTAGAATTATAATATAAAGTACAAAAATTGTTGAATTCTAATACTAATGAAAAGACTTAAGAAAATTTGCTGACCTCTTACGCGATCCCTCCGGTGCTATTAATAGAGAAACCTTGCAGCGGTTGAAAGCAGCTTGAAATTCCATTTGAATTCAAACACCCCTTGTCTCAAGTCTTATCCAAAATGTACATGCTTCCAATTAATCCCTCTGGTGGAATAGAATCCTTCGATGATATGGCAGTGTACCATATAATCAAACCAAGGAGTTATGTTAGTATATATCACTATATATATTAACCTGAATTCTGATTTTAAATAACAGCCCCAAATATATTATAACAGCCTTTGTCAATCAGCATAGCTGAATTAGATAGGTGATCTACACATATGGAAATAATTCTCCTCTAGCATGTTATAGTGTTCCTAGTCAATCAGCACCAGGTGGTTGAATCAAAACCTTCATCAAAACAAAATAGTCAAATCATAAAGTGGTATGTTAATTAAGACTCATTCTCTGAAAAAATGTTAATTAAGACTCTTCTTCTAAATAGAAGTCTTAAAACAACACATCATATTGTAATCCAAACTGATCAGCACCTCATGATCGAATGAAAATATTTTTAAGCAACGGAATAGCACTAGTGGTCAAAAAATATTTTTAGGGTACAAACATCTTGCAAGTGCACTATTGGAATATAGAATTAATTCTTATTGTTGAATATAGAAATAATTCAATATTGTTCGTATTAGAATATTACATTATAGGACAGAGATGATATTGGAATATAGAATTAAATGGAAATGAATGCAAGAACATGAATAATTAATTAATTTGAATTTCTAGATCTAAGGATTCTCTATTAAATATACCAGTGATATGTATCTATAACACATTCAGTCACAGAGAGCATTAATTAATTCCTCCCTAAGCTGCAGTTCTCTCTTTTCATATATACAGACATATTAAAGGCATATATGTACCTCGAAAATATACCGTTGGAATGCATCAACAGCATCGCACGTGAAGTAGTGGCCAAAACCACCCAACAATTTGGACCATCAAAAAAGACCATGTCTATATTTAAATCTCATTTCAAATTAAAAATAGTCTATTTTTTTTTTTTTTTTTTATACTTATTTTAACTTTAAAATCTATATACAAACTTATTAAAAGCAATATATATATATATATACAGTAGAGAATACCAAGACATGAAAATTTGGGCGATCGAAAATCCACAGTTGGAATGCACGTGAAGTGGGAAACTGAGGTGGCCAAAACCATCCACCAATTTAAATCTCATTTCAAATTAAAAATAGTCTCTCTTTTGTTAATTTTTTTAACTGAAATGATTTTTTCACTCTCGATCAATTAATTTACCTCACGCATTAATAAAGCTGCCTTTTCTCTCCCATTAAGGCCATCTCCAATACTAAAAGTTATTTTCGCATGCCAAATCTATATTTTGATAGGTGTTATAGTGTCAAAATGTTATATTTTATCAATTCTATTCTAATGGTGCATTTCATGCAAAATACTATTTTTTTGACACAACCACATTCCATGTCAAGTCGTAAACTTTAGAAGGAAACTAAAATTAAATCTAATTAAAAAGAACAAAAATCTAAAATATTTGATCAAAAAATACCAATATATATATATATATATATATATGTATAAATTTATATATTTAATTATATTATTATATAATTTTTTTTTCTTTTTCAGAAATTTATATATTATATATATATATGTATATTATATATATTTAATTATATTATTATTAAATATATATATATATATATATATATATATATATATATATATATATTTTAGGGCAAATCATTTCAGCCTCCCCAACCCCCTCTATCTCTATTCCCGTTCTCAACTCTGAAATTGCCCTCTCTCTGTGCAACTAATCAACTCCCCCTCCCCCTCTCTCTGTGCAACTAATCAACTAATTTCAAATTGTTCAAAAAATCAAAGCCCATGTCTTTCAGTTTTCATCGCCCATTTTTACATCTCCTGTTATACTTTAGCGATGATAACCCATATAAAATTGCATTGAAGATGCTCTGCTAATAATAAATATAGCAAACCATCATATACTGCAAGAAGGGGTGCTAACGGCAGTCTACTGAGTGAATTATCGCCAACAGTCGAGCAACGTGTCAGCAGCCTATTGGCTGCTGACTTTATTAACTTTTTTACTTTTAGATTTTCGAGCCAGGTTTTTTTATTATTTGTTCTGTGTTTGTGTCGGTTCTATCTCTCTCTCTCTCCCTCTTCTCTCTTTTATGTCCACCGGCGGCGAAGATCGAGCCGGTCTCCTTTTCTCTCTCTAACTGATCGAAGTCAAACAACTCCAATATCTTTATATATGATGATGGCTCATCTGATACCCTAAATGAAATGCGTGCATTAGACTATGTTGGACGACTTCGTGGGGAGCTTTCTTGTGCGGTGAGAAAATTTTGGTTGTTCTTGATGTTATATTTCCTATTTTATGGATCAAAGAAAAATAGGTTTTGGGTTTTCCTTAATTTTAATTAGGTTTGATATATGTGGCAGATTTGTTTTGAAATTTGCTTTAATTAGGTTTAATTAGGTTTGATATACAGCTAATTAGGTATCTATATATATATATATATATAACCAAAAATATTTGTGCCAAAATAACAGATGCCAAGAAGAACAAAAGACCTTGGACACGTAATGGATCTTGAAGTACTATTTCTGCATCTCCCTGACCAAATCCGCCCACATTCGGATTATGGTGGATCAAATTTGATAGATTTGCCCTCTGAAACAAGAAGTTCGGGCCCTGGAGGGATACTATCAACTACTTGACGTCCATCCGACGCATCTGCTATGGTTATATATATATATATATATATATATAGCTCTGACATTAAGCTAATCAGCTAATATTATACAAGAGCAGCTTTATTTCATTGAATATTGAGGTTACTAAATTTTTATTTGAATTTTGCAGCAATGGAAGGTCTTGCACAGTGAACACGGTTCTATGGAACACAATACAGAACACGGTTCCCCGGAAATAAACCATGGCGATGAGGGCGGGGTTTTTGGGTCTGCAAATATGGATCTGCAAATAGGAAAAAGGGGAAGAATAGGAATTTGAACCGGCCATCCAAGCCGCCGACCCTCTCCTCACTTCCGACGCCGAGCTCCGATAGTCCGGATTCGCCCACCATCATCCGAATCAACGACGGCATCTTCGGTAACCCGAAGTTTGGGTTGGACGGGGTTGTTTGCCGCCGGTGAAAGTAGAAAGAGAGAGCTGGTGAGAGAGAGAAAAATGGGTTTGCAAGCAACAAGGGTTTGATATATTAGTGTCACGGCTGGGCATAGATAAGTAGAGAGAGAATTGTTTTTGGGTTTGCAAATATGGGTTTGCAAGTAGGAAGAAGGGGAAGAATATGAATTTTGGGTTTGCAAATATGGGGTTTTCTACCACTGTTTTGACACCATCGTCAATGCCTCTGCAATTTTGGGTCTGCAAATATCGATTTCTTCCACTGTTTTGTCACCGTCGTCGGCGACGAAGCAAATTGATGATCGGTTCTCTCTGCAATTTTGGGTCTACAAGGTGACAGAAGAAGAACCAACAAACGAAAATTTAAAAGTCAGCAGCCAATACGCTGCTGACACGTTGCTCGACTGTGCCGTTAGCTTCCCTCATACGGCAATGAATTAAAACTTTTTTCAGACAATTTTTTTATTCTTCTATAATAAAACCCATCTACTCTTGTAAGCCATTAAAATGGTTGAAAGTTACTCATTAGAGACAATATTAATCTAAAAGAGAAGAATTGAAAGTCCGAGTTTCATTAGAGACAATATTAATCTAAAAGAGAAGAATTGAAAGTTCGAGTTTATTAGGGTACAATATTGTATGTGTATTGCTTGAACTTTAAAAAAAATATAATAGCTCTTCTGAATTAAGAATAATTGAAAGAATTGCTTTCAATTTAAATTGTACAGTTAGACGTACAATATACAAATCATGAAAAGATAATTATTGATAAGCATTTGAACGATCATTCAATAATTTGTACTGCTGCTTCTGCTTACAGAGTTGAATAAATTCCTCTGCAACCCCATCTATCTCTTCCTCTCCTTTCAATCTTATATGCTCCCTCATTTCTCTTGCTTTACTCCTTATATTTTCTCCATTTTTGTCCACCACCACTTTTCTTATGACTTTTGCAATCTCTTCCCTTTCAAGCCTTTCATTGCTCCCTCTCTTGACCTCCACACCCACACCAATCTCCTCCACAAATCTAGCATTCAGTGGCTGGTCAATATGCATTGGCATGGCTATGATTGGAACACCAAACTTGATGCTCTCCATAACAGAACTCCATCCACAATGACTCACAAACCCACCAGTGCTTGGATGACCTAGAATCTTTGCCTGTGGAGCCCACCCCTCAATAACCATTCCTCTCCCTCCTACCCTCTCAAGATACCCCTCAGGCAGTGCCTCTTCAACCCTAATTCTCTCTCCCATGGGAAACCTAACAACCCATATGAAATTCACCTTGCTGAGCTCTAATCCATGAGCCAACTCTTCCATTTCCTCCCTAGAAAGGAAGTACTCACTCCCAAAGCAAACAAACACTGAACAAGACTCATCCTTCTTGTCAAGCCACTGCATTATCTCTATACACTCATCTTCAATATTGACGGGGTCTTGAACAAGTGGACCTAAAGACACGATCTTCTTGTTAGCCAAAACTGAGAAATAATCCAAATATTTCCTCTCTATCTCTCTCGATAAAGACTTGATCAACACGACGTTACAAGATTGCTGGAGGGCTTGGAGGAAGCGTTCTCCGTCTGTGACTTCATTAGCAGAAGCATCAATCAAGCCGCGGAACGCAGGGCGCTCCGGCTCGCGAAGATAGATAGCTGGAAACGGGAACTGAAGACTTGGGTTGTTGATCATGTGAAGGACGAAAGAGATGAAGGCGCTCCCGAAAATTATGAATTGAACAGATGGAATGTTGTGGGAAGAAGCAATGGACGATGCCCATGGCTGGTTGAAGTCATAGATGAGCAAGTCCGGTTTTAGGGTTTTGAGGATGTTGGAGAAGTTGGGGCTTGACAACTCGAAGGCCTGTTTGAGGGTGGTCATGAGATGGGTTGGGAGACCATTGGTTGTGTGGTAGTGAGGAGGAAGGTCAGGCAATGATGGAAGGTGGAGCTCTACTAGTTGTATTGAGAGAGACTCATTTTCAGTGAGCCTTTTCTTGATGGAAGTGAGGTTGGTAGGTGTTGAACACAAGTATATGAAGAAGTTTCTCTTTGCGAGCTTTTTGGCTAGCTCTAGGAATGGAGATATGTGGCCATGAGCTAACCATGGCAGCATTAACACACTACTCTGTTTTTCGGCCATGCTCTCTCTCTTTCAACTATTCAAGGTGAATATATAGTGGACATTGTCTTTCTCTTTCTTTCTTTTTTTTTTTATTTTTTTTATTTATATAATAATAATAATATTCCCTTCAACTAAAAAAAACTTGTTCACGTTTCTATTTTGATCGGTTTCAAAATAAGTTTAATTTGAGACATAGGAAGTAATAAAATAACCTTTTTCAACTATATATTTGTCTCCCAGGGTTACGTGTGTAATGACAATATTGATGGGACCAAAAACTAGAAGTTAGTACTCTTGTCTTTACAATTGTGGGATCAAAAATTGAAATGATTTAGACTGATTCAATATTTAAGAAGTTGGTAGCTCAACTTTTTCTAACTATAAATAAGATATTGCCGAGATATGATAAGTCATTTCTCAATCTAACCTAACTTTTGGTTGTGGAAATTGTTATTGTGAGTATGAAATGAATTGAGCTTTATTAGAAATTTAATTTAAGTTGAAATTGTTTTCTTGAGTAATTTTAAATACAAATTAAGCACGGCCGGATATGTATATTTTTTATAAAATTTTTTATCAATTCATGTTGATTCGGGCGTAGGTATTTAATAGATCTCGTAGGTATTTAATAGATCTCGAAAATTTACTTTCTAAATCCCTACCAATCCCTTTATGCCCCTAGGACAATCTGAATCTCATTTAATAGTTAAAATCTCTTTATATAATATGGATGACATTGGTGAGATCTTGATTTTGCCCTATAATTCAACTCAAATATATACCAATTTGTATACATTATATTATTGCTAAGATATACATTTAAATTCAAATTGGATTCAAATTGGGATGAATCAGCCGAAAGACTATACAACAATTACGTGCCCTAAAGGTTATACTAGACCTATTGGCAACTTGGCAATACCTTTCTCCTCCTAGAATTAATGGGTTTAAAAATAGAAGCCACTTCCATTGAACTTCTGACCCTGACATTTGAATACAAATCACTAGATATCAAATTGGTCTTAGAACGTGGATTAGGAAAAAAAACAAGCCTGCCGCATTTGAAGTTAATACCTCCATTCAAAGGGTTTGGTTGACCAAAGTTGAGGTTTAAATTGACTTTTATTTTTCCAACTGCTAATGTTTTTAAGAGATCTCTTTCATGGAAAGAGTCATGAACTATCCTGTTTTAACTATAATTTTTTGAAATGTGTGAAAAGTCAAATTAATTATTTAATACATCTAAGTTAAAAAAACAGGAGATTAAAACTTTTAAAAAGAAGAAGAAAAAGAAAATTCAAATTTTCAATCTCTTTTTTAGGAAGAGAAAATTACACTGGTACTTTAATTTTTCATAGTTTAATTTTTCATAGTAAAGAATTAGCTATGTTTGACTATATGGCATGGAATAGGAGTTTTGTAATTGAAATTGGTGTAAATAGAAAGAAAAAAAAAAAAATTCAATTCAAAATTACAAAAAATTAAATTAAATTTTTTTTCTAATACCATTAATTCTAATTTCAAATTTTTTTCTAATACCATTAATTTTTTTCTAATACCATTAATTCTGATTTTTTTCTAATTTCATGGAGCCCAACATAATTTTAATAATTTTTATTTTATTTCTAACAATTGTTTGTTAATTTGGATATATTCTTTCACCATCTATGCCTACAAATACACTGCAAAGTAATTGAAATTGGTGGAATTATACAAAGACCTTTATCTGGATGTGAAGGATTTGTTTAAAATTAGATTATAAATTTATAGGGTAATTTATTTTGGAGTGTATTCATCATTAGATTTTAGCACTTTCTTAATTTATGTCACATGCTGTTCCAAATGTTTTTTTTTTGCAAATGTATAAATATGTAGCAAATTGGAGATTTGAAATTAGGTAGCCCAAGCGGATTGCAAAGTATGAAGGGTAAAGGATGGTCAAAAACATCTTCGATTGGGCCATAGCCCAACCATTAAAATAGACATGAAGTAAAGCCCAATAGGAGCTGGCCCAGGTACCAGCAACAATTTTTAGCCTACAATTGGGAGCCCAATCTATTCAAATTGGGCTTGTGTTAAGTTGGGTTTGTTCCATTCATGGTCGGTCCGAGTCAATCAACACAAACAAGCAATGCCAGGCTCGCTAATCTAGTTGAAGCCCAACAAATCCTTTTACGTCTTCTCTAGCATTTTAAAATTGACTCTTTTCACCACTATACTACAAGCCGGTTTGGAATTGCTTCCTGATTGTTTAAAAGCGTTTTTAATTTGATAAATTGCATTAAGATGTATTTGGCAATCATTAAAAATGCTTTTAATGATTACAAAATTTAGCTCTACTTGAATGAGCTAAAAATTGAAGCTTTCAAAAGTGCATACTTACTGGAGATTGAATATTTTGAGCAACTCTTTTTCATCAGACAATTTTGTCTTTTTTATTTTTTATAAAAATAATTACACTCCTTCCTTTATAAAGTTGCTATTATCAAATATGGTAACATTCTATTAAAAGATATTATTGTAAAATTAGCAATAGAAGTATTAAGAAAAATATTATTACCAAATAAATAAAAAATAATTTAATTGTGAAAAATATTTATTATAATGTGTTACCAAACACCTAACATGGTTTTTACTTTTTTTTGAACTATTTTTTGACAACTCAACTGATAAAAGCATTTTTTTTTTATTCCAACAGCAGCCCCAAACGGGCTCCACAAGTACATCTTCCGTTCAATTTTCATTCAATTTTAATTTTATTTTTAAAAAAATATTATACACCCATTTATCTTCATAAGAATTTGAACCTCGTATTTTGTTTCATTTTCATTCAATTTTAATTTTTAAAAAAATTATACACCCATTTATTTTTATAAGAATTTGAATTTCGCGTTTAATTTTAGAGCTAAATTACAGCTCCCAGTCGTCAATTTTAATTTATAATGAAATCAAAAAAAAAAAAAAAAAAGTGTATAATTGTTATCTTCATATATATTTGTATGTTTGTGTTGATATGATGTCATTATGTCATTATTTGTATTTACATGTCACGTCCATGGAAATAAAGATTTCACTATTATAAATCAAGAAATAGATATACAACTAGATGTCAAAACTTCATCCATCCACTCATCATCTCTTCTAATGCTGCATCTCTACACTGGGAAATTACATGTGAGTTAAGGGCCTGCTTGGTTGGTGTTTTGTTTTGAATATTTTTGTTGCAGGCCCGCTACAATATTCATGTTCAGTCCAAAACATGTTTGGTGTGCTTGTTTTGTTTTAAATAGTGCCGAAACATTTCTAAAAACAATTTGACGTTTTTGGATGATTTAACACTGTTCTCTCTCTCTCACACAGCCAGATCTCTTGCAATTTAAAGAGCGACCGCATCTAGCGGTTGATACATGACCCTCTTGTCTATTTAGATTAAAGTTGGCATCCAGCTAATGCTGAAACTACCAAATGTAACATGTAACAATAATTTTTTTGGAAAATGCTAAAGATCACGAATGAAATTTAAAATTAATGCCTACAAGAAAATCAAACTTGCAAATTATTTTGCCTCGTCCATCTCTCAGTTTAGGGTTGTGAACTGTATATATATATATATATATATTCAAAACAAACTCCAAACTAGTTTTGATATTAATTACGAAGTCAACTAGGTTCCTTCTTACTTAATTATTTCCTTATTTACAGGATTAATAAAAATAGAACTCATATATACAAGGGTAAAGTGCAAAAAAAAAAAAAAAAAAAAAAACCTCATAATATGTAAAATGTGCAATTATTCTCTATTGTGCTAAAACCTCCCTTACTGTTTCTAATTTGTACAAATAAGAACAAATCATAATTTTGATTTTAAAATTATTAAATTAATCTTACTTTATCACTAAAAAAAAGAAAAAAAGCAGGCAAGAGGTAGAATATTAAAATTACAAATAATGTTATAACATAACAATATTATGTTGTAGCCTCAAAGGGTACAGTGGCGTTGGTAGAGATCTGAGAGGTAAGTATTTGATATCTTGCTTTTGAACTGTACCTCTAATTTGAATAATAAGTATATTGTGGGACCGATAACATGTGGTCTAAAACAAATATATATATATATATATATATATATATATATATTATTATTATTATTATTATAATATTATGTTGTATCCATGGGACAAACACTTAAACAATTAAAACACACCCAAACCTTTAGACACCACCAAACACACCTATCCACCCTCAGATAAAAAGATCGATCTTCACGCTCTCTCTCATTGAACCCACTCTCACTTGCTCTCTGTAAAGGTCTTTGAGTCCAACAATTCGCGATCCGAATCCTTTGCTTTCTTAATATTCATTCAATTATTAATACTAAAAATGAAATTCTTAAAATGCCTTTATGTTTAATTTCTTTTTTTCTTTTTAATACCAAAATCCGGGAAAGAATAACCATTACTGATTTAACCTTTGTTATGTGTAAGTGCTATAGTGATAAGATTTTAAATTTTACCAATTGCAAATTATGAAATTTGAAGCATAACAACACGAGAGAAAAAAAAAAAAAAAAAAAAAAAAAAAAAAAAAATCTGAAAAACGCAGGAAAAAATATGGAGAGAAAAAAATATTAATCTGAAAAGTTCCTAACAAAGGAATTTTAGAGAGAGAGAAAAATATTTGTAAATAGACTGTTCAAAATCTAGAAAGAAAGAATGTAGGCTATTGACCGACAGAGTGCTCTCAGTGCATTGAAAGATGTTCGATTTGCGGTTCAGTACGGATATAGCCTGTCTATCGGTTACCGGCTACAAACTTTGGAGTCATAAAGTAGCTGATATGAAAGCTTGTCTGTGGATTTAGAGGGGTGGCCCATTAAAAAGAAGACCTGTTCAACAAATTGACATGTAAAGTTATTTATTTAATTGTGGCTCATATAATTTGGACATGTGACATATTATTTGGTGGGTAAATAAATAAATATTAATTAATATTATTTATTTTTGGTCAACTTATAATTATCTTTTTGGTAATTACTTATTGAAGAAGTGTTTTCCTTTCTTATTTCTTATTTTGATGGAAAGTATAATTATATTAGTATAAGGAAAATTGGTCCTCTCTCTGTCTTTATAAAAGTGCATATACTCCATCAATTATGTACAATTAATGAAATAACACGTAAAAGTTTTATGTGTGCAAAAGACTAAGAGAGAGAA